GGGGGGGGTTGAAGATGATGAAGTTCTAGGAGGTTAAGGGCAATTATATATATATATATATATATATATATATATGTTCGAATGTCCAGTCATCTCCTATGAAAGTTGATTTTTCTTTATTTACAATATCCCTTTTTGCTTTTTGGATATTTTTGAATACACTTTATAATTACTATTTTTAAGCACAACGGCTTTCCTATTCCAAGGGAATTAGCAAAGCTAGAAAGGGACATAGACTACTACTCTGCGGTCGAGATTCTCAGCGAAATTCTTGGAAAACGAGAGTAAGCAATCGATTTCTTTTAGTAAGCCCCGTCTCTAGAACTTGGAGGTCTAGATTGAATATTAACATCGGACCTGTACTGCATATCATTCTCTCCAAGATGCTCAACTATACTAAGTAAGTGTTTCATATCTTTAGGGTCTTTCTAACACTCTTTCCAATTCCTCTGAGAGGTCATTTACTGTCTTCCAACTTATCACCATAATTACGCACTTTATGCAAACGTGATTGCCAATCTTGCTTGTGGACAATGATATGGACTAATTTATGATTTTTTTCGTTTCTCTTGTTGTGTTAGACTTCTATTGATAACCTCTAGCCATGAGAGAAGAACGGTATTTCGGAGTTGCTCTTATTAAAGTCGAATATTTTCATCCAGCTTGCTGATCGCGTACATATAAACTGCTGGGTCACCATCGCATATTTAAAGGAAGCGTTTTACAACACCATTTTGTGTTGGGATAGAGTTTTCGGAACCATTCTAGTGGTAATTCAACAAAAAAATCACTAATGCTCAATATGTTACTCTTTCAGCAACCCTCCACTGCAGTTGTATGCGATACACGACGCTTCCATTCTACCAATTCTGCTTGCTCTTGATAGCTGGGATGAGGCATGGCCTCCCTTCGCTGCCGATATTACCTTCGAACTCCATCTACAAACATCTGGTCCTTCCTATAAACCTTCCAGTCCACACAAAGTCGTAGAATTTGAGCCCAACTCTCAGCTTGACTGGTCTTCTGTTCCCTTCGAGAGGTTGTGGGTCCGTGTGCTATATCTCGGTCAGCCACTACCTATGACTACCACGTGGATGAAAGGAGAGGTTGATCTGGAAGAAATGACCGGCTCTGGTGACTTCATCCCCCTGGTTGAATTTGTGCGACGTCTGGCACCTTTTGCCCTCTCTATGGAGGATTTTCAAGCAAAGTGCCAAGAGAATGCAAATAAACTTAAGATGGATCATCGTAAGCCTCGAAGTCCAATGGCTATATAGAACGTTTAAGTGCATTGAAAGAAAAAGCGGAATATGGTATAGGATAAAGTTTTGTGGATGTTGCCTATTCTATACATTTATTACTCCAACCAGCAGCATTTTATTACGGAAAGAAGCCTCTTCCCCTTCTTGATTGTGTATCTCTTACTTTAATTGATTGAAATGTATACTTTTGATATGCTAGTAAAACGCCAATTATTAATTTTTGTTTTTATTTGGCAGTGGGGATAACAGACGCTTAAGGTTAGAACGTATATTTGTAGCTTCTTCCTGAACCAAATCAATAGATGAAATCCATCTTCAAATGGATTGTTAATTGTTTGGCTGCTCAGGTAAGCAAGCGTTTGCTTCATACCTTGGTCTAAATAAGCAAGTTTCTTTAATAAGGTGATGGAGTGCGTCGTTTGTGCTGTGGAAGGTTCCCCTTCTTCCTTATCTGTCTAGGCAGACGTGATGATAGGAATCCTCCTTGGAACATTTGGTGATAGGGGTGGGGTCTAGATCATATTAGTAGCAACAACATTGCAATGCTTGAAAACGGGCATTTGCAGGGGTTCAAGTAATAGAATGCATTTGTGATTGTATTTGGAAATACTTCCTTATTGAAGCCAAGTGTTGCCATTGGAGGACCGAAAAAGATGTATGGTAGGAGGAATATGGGAGGATGCATTACTGCTTCCTTGTGTGACTCGTTATGGACAGAAATACCGAACTTTCCGTTGTAATTTTTTTAGAAAACGTCCTAGACTTTAAATTTTATAGCTCGTCTCAGTAGCCACATAGTTCAGAAAGAAAGTGAACGAAGACGAGTGCTGCTTGTTCTTAATGCTAACAATGGGCCCTAATCATCTCGTGTTCGATTTAACACCTACAAGGATAATATACGTAGAGGTAAATGAATAAAAGGTAATCCAATTAGTGATGATAGTCTATTTAACTTGGATCCTCCTTTGTGCTTCTCGAACAAACGGACTGTTTGTTGATTAGTTTAGTTGAACGATTAGTGGTGTAACTAAAAACTACTCAATTTAGGAACTAATAACAAAACAGGGGTGTGCGATAGACTTACCTCCACGTGGTGCAACCTGGGCAACGTATACTTACACGGCAAAAAAAGTCTATTAACTGACAGTTGACTTCTGACTTCAAACTACCATCACCCCACTGTATGTCATATTACACAGCTTTTGCAGTACTCATCACACCTTTTCTCTGCCTTTGTGTCTGTCTCCCCTACATCTGCGAATCACTCTTCTGCCCCCCCTTTTCCACTTCTTCTCACCTTGATGTTCCTCTGTGAAGCCCGAAGTTAGCTAAATGGCTAATGATAACTATTCAAAACGCCCGACATTTGAAATAATAATAATGATAATAACAACGAAACTTAAAGCTTCTCAAACGTTCAGCATTTTTGTCAAAAGATTAAGCTGATCTGCATAGCCCTGAGTTTTTATAAATCAGTTTCCAGGACTAGTGAGAATGATTATTGCTCAGAATAGTCAACTACTATTTCAAACTTTTATAGGATATCAGGTAGGGCACAATTAAATGATCATTTATTAATTTATTGTAAAGATGACTCATTTACAAGACTGCATAAGTAAACATTTTGACAGTACGCAACTGTTTATTGATAATATCTTTCAAACGGGGAAAGACGACGAAACTGAATAAAAATAAATCGAGCTTTACCATGTTTGAAGCCCAGAATTTGTTCTGCACTTGAGATTAACCACAGAGAAAGGCGAGTTAAATTGCAGCAAATGGGCGAATGAGGCAGTTTTTGATGTTGGCTCAAGGGTAATAAAATAGATTTACCATATCTAGTATTCTTAAATTTGGGATGACAAAAGGTAGTTTTGATGTTTAAAACTCCGATTGGTAAACTTTTGTGTGTATCCAAGGTTATGAGTACTCGGCCATTATCGTTGGTACTATCGTTTCTCAAGCAAAAAAGTTTTAAACATCCAAGGAATCATTGCCCATTAAGATGAAGAATGTACACTTTTAAGAGCAAATAATTAGGCCAATGCACGTTCTCGTTGTCTTTTCATCAAATTGAATATAGGAATTTGAATGTTAGCTGAAAAATTTGGCAATGATACGATGGCTGGAAAGATTAAAATGAATGGCGACTAAAATTTAAAGCTAAATGATGCGTAATAATTTGCTCAAAAATTTAATTATTAATTTTCAAACTATTTGCAGTATTATGCATGGCTCCTTCGGCAATCCCCCCCCCCTTCTTAACTTTTCTAATTTTGTATCTGTCTATTTTACATTTGTGAATCACTCTTCTATTCCCCCTCAACTTTTGGTGACTTTAATTTTCATCTCCTCTGTGAAGCTTTAAGTCAGCCAAATTGTTAATGATAGGTATCATAACGCCTACTGTTTGATATAAATAAATAGTAAGCACAAGTGTAATTAATGTATGTCAAATATGCTTACTAAATATCTTTACATAATTGGCTCTACCAGATTTCAACTAGTTTTCTGACTTAAAGTTGAGAACTAAAACTCATCAGCCACCTGAAACGAGTAACACTTATCGTGGCATGGAATATAAACGTTTAACTCATAACTATTACAAAAGCAAACGTGATCTGACGTGCATATTTTTCCACCTTCAGAGTAATTAAGAGGAGGCTATAAAAATTACTGCAAATCATTTTTGGAAACAACTTGTCTCATAAATTTTCTTTTTAAGTTTATCGAAAAATAAGCAAAGGGCTACCAAAACAATTAGTTGTCTGTAAAATCCAAGTATGAAATTTTGAGAGAAAACCTTTCGAAAGATTCGTGTTTTGAAATTTCGCATCATGTGTACATGTAAGATTAGAGATTACTTGGAAGGAACGCTTTGTTAATTTGATAATTTAATGCAGGATGCCAATTCAGGGGATAGGGTGAGAATAAACTTAGCTCGGGGTCATAGATGAAAATCTGAAAAAAAGTTCCATTAACTATAATTTATTTGAACTCAAAGTAGTTATTCAGCATAAAATTATTATATGGGATCATTGCTTCTCGGGAATAATTGAGAGTGAAAAAATATGAATTCATCCTTTTTCGCAGTGTAAACTTACAACTGAGCGAAGTGGGAGCAAAGTTAGCAGGCTTAAGATTTAATTTTCCTTTTATGCGTTTAATGAATACTCATATTTCTTCTGAATGATCAATGTTTTACGAAGCGTTCGGTATGGTTTTCTTCTCTTATATTAGCGGTGTTAAATTACATTCATGGAAAATTTGAATTATATTAATTAGATCTTAAAATCGAAATAAGTATAATTTACATTATGTAGAGCTACTTTAAAATTTATAATACAAGTCTACTTTTATTTTATTTATTAGCTAAGGGTCAAATTGTTTGATTGGCGGCTTACATAAACATACTTATCGTCGGTTACATTTATTCGTTTCTGTCTCTCTCCATTGGATTGTCTCTCGTCTGTAGTTATGTGGGTTCGAAATCGTTATTTTCGATACTACTTAGTAGTTGCGCTTGGAGTTTGTTTATTCTACCTCTTAGTTCCGCCAGAAATGTAATTTTCCCTCCATACGAACATTTGTTGTAGTTTTGTTAAAAGACTACTTAAAGTTCCATGTATTTTATGCTTTTTGGTAGATTTTCAAATTTACCAGCATTGTGGGATTTTAATTGTTATTCATGACTAACTTAATGCCTTTGTCTACATATATTTAGGGTGGGTAGATTGCTCCTGTGTGCTATTCCAGGCTTTTCGTATGTTGATATACCAACAAGCATTTATTTAAAAGATTGTGCTGTATTTCCCTCCAAACCTCGGCTCAGTTTTAACTTTTAATCGTTCTAACTTATTTGCTCCAAGCGCTTTCTTCAAACAAGTTTAATTCCCCCTTCTCTTCTGTCTTAATTTCTGTTATTAAACTTTTTCTCGTTATTTTGTAGGAAGGGTAATATTTGGCTCTCGTAAGTTCTTGAATTTCAAAACTGTATATTTCTTTTAGGAAGATTGAACTTAATCTTGTACAAGTCCAGGTGTTCTTTCGACATGGAGCAAGAACTCCATTGCATTTAGTGCGATCCTCACTTGCCCATGTAAGATTTGATACCTTTTTCTAGCATCTTTGCTTTTTCTAATAATTCATTTAAATTAACTTTGATTTACCTTCCAGGCTGAATGGACCCCGGATACCACGAAGGATATTCCTGAGGTTTCAATCGCAATGCAGCACGTTGACATCTATAATCGTACTCCTGTGGATGAAGCTTCCTATGACTTAATTTACAGGCCCATCAAACTACCGGTTTGTCGATGCCGCTTTGTACTATTATCCTTACTTCTTTGTACAGGGTGGTGAATCTATTGGTATGCTAACATCTATCGGTCAAAAAGATTTGTTCTATCTCGGGGTGGAATTGCGCAAACGATATTCTGGCGAAGGCGGAATTCTGTCTGATCCTCCAAAACTTAATGAAATCGAGTGAGTATTCACAATTATTCGGTCTCTAATGGGTATGTCTGTAGAATGCTAAAGAAATCTTTTTTCTTCGCAGTCCATTGGTTTCACATTCTAGCATATTTTAGTATCTCTCATGGAGACGAATGAATTGCTTGAATTTTTAGCGACGAATAATAATTATTATTATTACAATTATATTTAGTTGAATGATGTCGTAGTAGCGTTTTAATAAGATCGTTTATTTCAGCTCCTTGATGTGCTTGCCATTAGCTTGAGAACCATTGCATTTTGCTCCTGCTCAATGAACCCTCATAGTGCGATAATGGATTGGGAATAGAGGAGGTACATTGGAAGATCCCGTTCAACATAGGACTCTTTTTGAAATTTCAACTCTCTCTCTCTCTCTCTGGTGTTCTTCTATGCTACTGGTTCACCATCTTTATTGTGCTGCATAAAATTGGCACATTATTGAATATTGAAATGTCTGTGGGGTGGGGGTCTTTCCAGTTAGTAAATTTTAAATCACTTTGCTTATCTTCCTCTTTTTATTTAGTGTGTTATAAGAGGAAAAGCTTTGTCATCAGTTTGATTAGGGGCTTTTTCGTAACACCCAATAACTCCTGAATAAAATTCACTTGTCGTTAGTTGTCTTTTCAGGTTAATCAGGTCATGAAAATGTAATTTTTAATTACTTGTTATTCAAATAGCCAATTTCATTTGCCGCTTTCTCCAGGGTTCTGCCTTCAGGAAATGGTATATACTGTTAAATGAATGACGCGTTTATGGTGATTGATGTGTACGCCTAACTTGCTGGAGCTAATGAACCTGAACCAGGCCATCGAAGCTTGGTCTCTAGATAGTGGTAACAAAAACAGCTCCAATAGATTGGTTGTCAAAGCCTGTACAGGCTAAAGTGTGTTAAATAAACCAACTGAGTAAATGGGGGGGGGGGGGGGGGGTGAGAGATGATTGAGAGGTTAGTTCGACCAGGAATAATATGTACAGATAAACGACAATCGTCTGTAGATTCAAGTCGAGATATGAGTGAAAGTGCACTATTGAATAAATAATGGGCAGTTCTTAAGGCAGGGTAATTGATAAGCTCGTCTAGAGATGGTGGACAGGGATCTGAGGCGTCAAAGGAACGTAAAGTTTTTCAAGTAACTCCCTATCTTTGCTTCCTGAGTTCTTACATTTATGAATTGTCGTCTGTAATTCTGATCGCCATTCTTTTCGTTTAGAACTCGCTCGACTCGTGTCGGTCGTAATTTGAAATCCATTCGTTCTCTTGTCGCTGGAATATGTAATAATGAAGCTGATGGTATGTTTCTATATTTGCTCAGAAATATCCATTTCTGATATAATGTGAATTTTATTAATATTTTTATTATTGAAGGCGTTCTCGTGGTTCCTACAATGGATTTTGCCGCAGAGGTTCTATTCCCGAATCCCAAGTTGAATGGGGACGATACGGCTTACGTTGAAGGTACTGAAGAGCTTAGAAATGATCCAGACATCCTTGCTCTCAAAAAGAAAATACGAGAAGCATTAAGTGAGTTTGCTATTTCTAAATTACCGAGGTGTTGTTCGCTGGAATTAAATTACAGAAATGGTAATTTACTGATTTTACCCAACTTTGAGCATAACACATCTCCTTAGACTTGAGCAATTGAGTTGGTAACTGTAATGTAATTCTTGCTTCTAATTGTTTGCTCAATTACTGCTGGCACTAAGATATCGCGCGTTTTACAATCAAGTGTGCGAGTTCAATTTAAGTCAAGGCACCAAAGAGGAAATAGCCACATAAGTTTAATTTTTTTTAAATTAAATGTGATTTATGAGCAATAAATTTAATTTGCTAATAAATTAAAAAAAATATCCAACCCCAGGGCACACATATTGAACTCCACTAAAACTAATAAATCCATTATGTTCAAGGGTTTAGAGTCCACCTATGTCATTCTTGTTTAAACAATTAAAATTGTGCAGTAAGAATTTAAATGCTGCGTCAACATTAGAGCATTAACGCATTAAAGTCGCTGATTAGATCAGATCATTGGTTAATCGTGTGAGGATTATCGAGTAGTCTCTCATTTTCACAGTTAATTGCTCAATTGCATTTGAATCGCATGGTGGAATTAAATTTGGGAATTTGGGTACCTAAAATAACAGAGACAAGCGGAGATATTCAGTTCCTTAAGACAGGGGTTGACATTACACATTTAGTGTGGTACATGTGGAATAGTCTATTACGAATAGCTAGAACCGCAGCGGAACAGTTATATAGCCGAATTTTATTTTCGCTTAACATTTCGAAGGCGTAAACTAGAAAATGAGAGATTGTCGTCCAGGTGTCTTTAAATGGGGACAAACTGAATAATTTTTCGGCACGCCAAAGGCCCAGCAGTTGTCACGCCCCGTAACTGACATCCCCAAGTATTCGTCATCCCTCCCCCCCCCCTCCCCCGGTGAAACATGCTTTAAGGGGGAAATGATTTCAAGACGTGACCGAAGTGGAATACCATTTGAGCGAGTATTTAGATGCAAAACGCAGCGAGTTTTTTTTTCCCGAAGGGCATAGTGAAACTGTAAGACCAATGCGAAAGAGTGGCTAAGTATGGTGAAAATTTTTGTACTGTAGTATGTATAAGGCGTTAAATAGTTTAAAACTGTTAGACATCATGATGCTGTTCTTAAAACGCGCAAGTGTTTATTGGCGATTTTATTGAATGGGTTGGTCAAGCCAGTTTAGTTTATTTCTATCTTCTTGTTGGCATAAGCGGTACGATTTCCACCTTTATAATTACAAAGCAGAAAATCAGTTTGTGAACACCACATTCATCGTAAACACAGAACAGACAATGTGGAGGCCATATGACTGTGATATTCCATGTAATTGATATTGAAATCAACGAATTTATTGTGTATTGAAAGCATTTTTTTCGTCATGACTCTACTATGCTTCCTTCCATGTTCTCAAGTACAAATATTAATACCCACTTATTTTGCTCATCTTATAGCAATAATCTACTTGTGCATTGCATGCTTCTTCTTACAGCAATATTTTATTGTTCCTCATTAGATTAGTAAAACTTTTCCCCTTTTCATTGTTCAGAAGTAGACCGACTGATTGACGAGCTGGATAATGATCCGCAAAAGTACTCAAGGGATTGTCAAGTCTACTACGTTAGGGACGATTACGCTGCTCGCAAGGTAGGTCTGATCGATCAGCCATTTGAGTTGTATTTGTGCTCTGAGCTTGGTTTTTAAGGTTATTCAGCTCTCCATAAAGAATCTGAGTGTTAGATCTGTTGGACGGTGATTTAATCTTTTCCATGCACATTTAATCGCTGCACAGCTGGAATCCGAATGTAAACTCTTTTCTGTGTTTAGGAATTAAGTTCATTTATGTTTACGCGCTTGTGGTCCTGCGGTCAACGTATTTGTTTGTCAAGTCAAATGCAGAGATTGATGCCCCTCGGTGAGCTTCTAGTGATGCAATTGGCTAAGGTCACCGGCTAGTTCTGATGAATTGGTGGTGGTAGGGGTGGGGGGGGGGATTAACTGAACTTATTTATTTACTTATTTCAAATGGCAGGCGTTTTGATAGTTATCATTAGCCCTTTAGCTGACTTCGGGCTTCACAGGGGGAAGGAACATCAAAGTAACAGAAAGTCGAGGAGTGGGGAACAGAAGAGTGGTTTACAGATGTAAAGAGACAGAGATGAAGGCAGAGAAAAGGTAGGATGAGTACTGCGCCAGAA